GTGGATGATTGTGTATAGTGTAAAGCGCTTTGGGGTCCTTAGGACCAAGTAAAGCGCTATATAAATACAGACTATCAATGCTACTGAGATCATAGATTATTTGATGCACATGCATGGAGTGTACTTTAAAAGAATGGAATGTGATGAAATATGATAAAAGCAGAAATAACAGTGTTCTTTAATCTCTCTTGACTTTAAGCCAGTTAATCCAAACAAGGTGCTTTGGAGGTGAATGAGCAGCTGGTCCTTGAGTCCAGTATGAACGTGAAAGTCACAATACATCATGCACACAATGTTTATGTCCGGTTTATGCCCATTAATAAATACAATGACAAATTCTCCCACTCCAAATCAAAGCTGTCACGCTGAATTACCCGATTAAGAGATTCATCGTGCGTTAAATGTGACGAGCGTCCTGCAGATGGAGCCGAGACAGGTCTCGACAGTATGGAAGGCATGTAAAAATAGTTCTCGAGGATCATCACCTGCTGCTGCTGCTGACATGTTCTTATTACCACAGCGAGATTCCTGTGCCATATTTAAGTGTCAAGCAGAGATCGATAATGCAGAGAGATTGACATTTGGACAGAGTGACATTGCCAAGTTTGGAGCATCCGGTTTGCTTCAGCAGCATCTCGATAAAAGGAGTTTCGACCTCCTGCTGGAACCATCCATCTACTCTTCTGGTCCCTGTCAACAGTGCTGACTCAGGACTGCATTTGTTTTTTTAATCACTTGTTGCTCTGTCATTTTTAACTGAACTGGGTCTAGATACCTGGTGGGTGAGAAAATACAGTCATTCTCTTGCAAACTATTTTTAATTTGCTGACGTTTCTTTTTTCTTTTAAAAGTTCAGATATCATCATGAGCACCGATGCTGAGATGGCCCAGTACGGGCCGGCAGCCATCTATCTCCGGAAACCTGAGAAAGAGCGAATTGAGGCTCAGAACCGTCCGTTTGATGCCAGAACAGCCTGCTTCGTGCCTGAACCCAAGGAGCTGTACATCAAAGGTGTCGTCCAGAGCAGAGAAGGTGGCCAAGTCACCGTGAAGACCGAAGCTGATGAGGTGAATATCTGTGCACGCGTTGTCGTAGGTGGAAACTCTAACCTTAATCCATGAAAGAAAAGGCCAAAATTAGTCTTTGTGTGTCAGCTGTAAATACTGTTTTCCTTGTTTCTTGATTGCCAAGACTTTGGAAACAACTGAGTAAGAAGAGAAATGACATAGTCTGACTGTCCAGGGCCAGGGTTAGGGTTTTAAGATAAGATAAACCTTTATTAGTCCCACTCGTGGGAAATTCTTTGGTCACGGCAGAAAGTGGAGAGTACAAAGTTAAGAGCAGCAAAAATTAAGAATCTATAGAATAGAATGAGATAAAACAGAATAAAATACTATGTTGTATCAGAAAAATTGCACTTGGTAATATTGCACATCAGCGAGACTACCATGGTGTATTGGATGTGTGTGTGTGTCTGT